CAAATATTAAGGGTTGTAAATATTTCATTTTATAGGTAAAAAAATACTCATGTGTGAAAACATATGCGAACTTAGCCAGTGTCAGTTTTAAATAAATTACATATATTTCCAAAATGAATTACTTTTTAAGCCAGTGTCAGTTTTAAATAAATTACATATATTTCCAAAATGAATTACTTTTTAATGTTATTAACTTCAGTTTAAAGTAAAATTACTTGAATTAGAAAATTGTTATTGGATTTACATATAGTATTTTGTTCTCATTTGATTTAGTTTTAGATTATTAAAGCATAACATCTTCTACTTGGATATTCTATGAGGAAGTATGAAGAGCTTCATCTGGATAAGGGGTAGCATTAAGATCATTGAAAGAGGAAGAATAAATTATGGGTTAGAGTTGATCAAAGAAATCACACTGATTTTTAAGCTGGTAGAAGGAGGGGATACAAGGGAATTATGCTTTGAGGCTGTTGTGAATGTGATGTAAATAACGTTTCTGACAGTAGGCTTATAAAATTTAATTACTCAAACAAATAATATGAAAATGTCTTCCCTATTCTTAAGAAAATAAGTTTGTGATGACTGTCCATTCATTTTTTTTTTCTATCACACATTTAAGCACCATTACCAACTAGAATTAAAAACCCAAAATTCTGTTTTAGCCCGGATTCTGTCTGTGGAGATGATTTTGTACATTGCCACAACCAGAACTCCTTTGAAGGAAGGCAAATTATAGGCGTCAGTTTGCACCTGGGTGAAAATTAACTTTTAAGCAGCCTTTAAAATAAATTTTTCTTAATTATTATCATTATGCAAAAACTGGGTAAATGCCTTTAATTGTGCTTATAGCGCAACATTTGCTATAATCACCTCTAAAATCCAGGAGCAACTGCAGGGTTTTCTTCTCCTTTTTTGTTCAATACAAATAAAAATAGAAGAAATCCTCATTGTTGACTCACAGATCATTTTTTTTCTTAAATTTGTGAGCATAAATGTTATAGTTGACCAATAATTGCTAAAAGTTAACATGTGCTGAAAGCTAACTACTTAAATTTGAACCTAAATATCTTGAAAATGTGTTCAATTACTGGAAGAAGGCTAAAGGTCAACATACAAACATGATTATGAATTTTATGATTTCATTTGCTTAGGTGTTATGCATAGCATTTTCTAGATAGATAAGATTGAACATACACATTTAAAACTGAGAATATTTTCATTTTATATATCTTGTGTAAGAAGTGATGCTACTTAGAGTTGATTCGTGTGTGTGTGTTGTGTGTGCTTGTATGACTCAGATAATAATTTTTTCAGAAAAGTTTGATAAGAAACAAAATCCCTTACACGTCTATTTTTAATCAAATTTAAACAAAGAAATTTAAAAAATACAAAATACACTTTAAATGTAGCAGTTCATGGTAGAAAACAGTTCAGGGGAAAAATAGAAATGCAGCATAGTGTAACAATATGGATTGGATTGGCAGCCAATTCCTTTGTTTATGTTTTGATATTTCTCTCTCCAGGTAATATTTGTAAAAACATGTAAGAGATGAAGATGTGGTACTTGTAAAACACTTTTTTTTGCAACTTGTTTTGGAATAAAGTATTATTCCAAAAGTAGTTATCAGAGGGGCTGGGGTTATGGCTTAGCAGTAGAGTACAAAAAAACACATGTGAGGCCCTGTGTTCAATTTTCAGCACCACATAAAAATAAATAAGTAAAGGTATTGTGTCCAACTACAACTAAAAAATAAATATTAAAAAAAGTAGTTAACAGAGTAATGATTAGATCAAATGAACTTTCCTGTTGTTTTTAATAATATATGAAATCAAAACTGTATTAACCAGAAAATGTACTAAAATGTATTAAATTTCATAGGTTAACTTATTTTTAAGCATTAAATTATTAATTTATTGGTTACACTTCTTAACACACTCCAAAAGCAATGTGCAAAACTGTCACCTGGGAAAACTTCAAAAGCAATGTGAAAAACTATCACCTGGAAAAGTCATAATAATCATTGTTTTAAACAATTTTAATATAGAAACTGAAGTCTGAATTTTATTTTCCCCTTCTAATTGATGTAATTTTCAGTTTTTGCTTGGAGTAGGTATTTTATCTAAGTGGATCTAGAGAGTCCTACATTGATGGGGTACCAAACTGGTCCAGTCTTTCTTTGAGAAGGTTCATCTTGAATCATCTTTGAACATGTGGAAAAAAGTTACTAAACACCAAGTAAATGAATGGAACACAATTTGTGAAGGTATTGAACATGAATGTACGTATCTATACATTTCTTTCAAAGAAAAATTTAGAGGTAGTCGTGATCTTTTTAATTTTTAGAGTTTTTATTTTATTTTATTTTTCCAAGGGTTATGTCCTGTAAAATTAATATAAATGGAGAACAAATTCACTCTAACAACTTATAATCCTAGATAGAGAAATGGTCAGAAGACTGATAATGTGAATCAGATTCACAACAATTCTTTTAAGATAATGGTATTATCGTTCCCTAAGAAATTTCAAAACAACATTTTCTAGTTAAAATACATAAGTTTGGTAGTACATACAGGAAATATCCAGCTATATAAGAATAATTCAAAGCTGCACTCCACATATAGCTGATATATGTTAAAATACTACCAAGAGTCTTGGAAATCTATTCAAATAATGCATAGTAAAAAAAAAGAATTAGCAATTGACAAAATTATTCTATAAAATAGCACTCTGGGTCACATACTACCAGTGGCATATTACATAGAAGAAAATTAATAAGGCATATGTTTCTTAATAGGGCATATGTATCATACGTATCAATTTAGAGTTGCTTATAATAACTAATATCAAGATCATGAGTCTGTCCAAGATCATAAACTATAAAGAAAAAAGAAACTATAAAGAAAAAAGGTTTAATTATATATTTTAATCTTTTTTAAAAAAAATAACTTAGAGGATTGGGGAAGTTTGTATATAGAGTCCCTACATACCACCACTTCCATCTCACATAACTCAGACATTTGTCAATCTCAGTGATTTTTAAATAAGCACTGGCAGGTTGGGGCAATATCCATCCATTACTTTACATCATCCCCTGTAACTCAAGGTACAAAATGATGAAATATGGAGAAAATATAATATTGCTTTAATTATATGCATTTTAATTATCTTCCTTTAATTCTCCTGAAGATTATTTTATTTTTATTAATAATGATATTTTTATATTAAAACTGTGGTGTGCTTGTATGAATTTATTTCCTGTTTTTAAATAATGAAACAACCTTGGCATAACAATTTTCAAACTGTAAATTGTTGGTTTGATTGTAATTCAAGTCTCATAGGCTCCTGCATGGAAGGGACAGTGTGCAGGTGTTTGTTTGTTTTCTTTTAATATTTATTTTTTAGGTGTAAATAGACACAACGCAAAACCTTTATTTTTATGTGGTGCTGAGGAAGGAACCCGGGCCTCGCCCGTGCTAGGCAAGCACAATACTGCTGAGCCACAATTCCAGCCCCCAAGTGCAGGTGTTTCTGAGTGACACATAGATAACAAATTGGTTTCAAAACAATAATATTCCTTTAGTCACAATTATTGACAAATTTTAAGAATGTTTGATCATCCAATAGTAAAATTGGAACAAAACAACAAAAAATCCATGAAACTCTAAGACATTAATGAAAGGGACAGGCATACTTCTAAGTGTCAAAAGAAATGTAGGATGCTTTGAGAAGAGCAAACATGTACTTGTGAGGAATGTGAGTCAAATGGATCCCAGGAGTGTGGGAGAATTGCATGGCTGCAGTTATCAACTTTATCTTTTTTGTGTGCATATGCATATTTTAAAGAATATTTAAGGTTTAAATATTCAATAATCAAGCAAGGATATATGCAGAATTTCAATTTTGGTTTATTTTTTGTCTCTTCAATGAGCAAGTTATCTAAAAAGTTGAGGCTGTTTTGGTCCCTTTTCTATTCTTATTGATTGATTGATTGTTCACATCTAACACTGAATTCCATAAACAGATCTATCCAAAAATGGAGTATGAAAAATTGGATAGGGAGTGTCAGAATCCCTGTACTGTTCTCCAATTGACATGGTTGATGATAGCAATAGACTTGTCCGTTTCCCAAATGTCAAAAATTTTTGGCCACCACTTACCACTTTTATGAAGATACCAAGTATATACATATTTATTAAATTAGAAATACACCTTCATGTATTTATCTATTAAAATTATAGAATGTATTAGTTGTTAATATCATTAGAATCTTACCTTAACATAAAAATCACAAGTATTGAAAACACACCTATAGAAACTTTAGGGTCTGAGAATGTAAGTACTGTTTTATAAGAGTAGAGGGTAGGCATTTTGTGAAAAGAAGGTGCAATGAAATACATGTAGGGGAGGATATTACTTCAATAACTATGTTAGTAATGTTACAGTTAATTTATCTAATGTATGTGTATATAGTTTTCACCCTTAAATTATCCTTGTTTTTTTTCTTTAAAGAGAGAGAGAGAGAGATTTTTTAATATTTATTTTTTAGTTTTTGGTGACACAACATCTTTATTTTTTTATTTTTATGTGGTGTTGAGGATTGAACCCAGCACCCTGCGCATGCCAGGCAAGTGTGCTATCACTTGAGCCACATTCCCAGGCCCTATCCTTGTTTTTTAATGGATATGGTCAAATTATTACATACACTTTAAACGAAATATGGCATATATTAATTTTCACTTTAACTTTATACTTAATGCCCAATTTTCTGAACTATCTCCAGCAATTACATTCCCCCTTGCCATCAAACCCACAGAGACCTAAAAACAGTAAGGACACCTAAAATCTATGCAGTAATGAAAATTTTTTCTACAAAAGATCCCATAAGCTGAAATTAAGTTATCTGTGTCAAAAGAACATCTGGGTTAATGCATGATGTTATCATAGAGATTTGCTTTGTATCAAAAGGAATGGCAAAGTTCTTAAATAACAATACAAAATATTATGTAATGAATACATATTATTAGAGTTTCATTCTAGTTTTTATTTTACATTTAAGAGAAAAAGCCATACACATTCATTTAAAGAGTTTAAATACAGAGGAAATCATAAGAGATCTGTTTCTGCTCCCCATCCTACTTTTCAAAGCATGATTATGAACATGTATCAAAGCCCAGAATTAGGAAACAATTGAGGTAAATACAATGGGGATGAAAGTCTTGGCTAGAGAAAGCTACAGAAAGAGGAAATATGTAAGAAATTACACAACTCAAAGAAATTATAGTCTGCCTATGTACATTCATTTATGTGTGTGGGCAGTATATATGTCCTGAGGTACAGCAACTCTATGAAATTCTATGAAAAAGAAAAGTTTTAAACTGAAGGTGTATATGTGGCTGGTGCAGGATTTTATATGCTTGTCTACCATCATAAAAAAAAAGATGGTATAATTTTATCAAGCTCTCTTAGTGATGTGTTTGACTATAGAGAAAAATACAGAGAATAATGTAGAGAAAAATATACAGAAACCCAAGAAGTAAAAATAATTAATAAATTTTGAAAAACTTCATAATTGGGGTATCTGTTAACTAAGGCACGTCTACAACAATAAATTGAGAAGAAACAAATATGAATGAACAACCGAGATAAGAGCATATATACACAATACAAAGAGAAAGGTCAGTTGGATATGAATTCCTTCCTCTTTGCAACAATAAAGATTTCCTACTTGCAAACAAATGTGCACATTTTGCCTAGGTTCACTCAAGATTCAGGCATAAAAACACCAACTTCCCTTAATGTTTCCAGGAAGGATATTTATGATAGATAGTTAATTACATACCTATATGAGACAAATGTGGTTTAATACACTAACCATTACTTTTAAGACCGTTGTATAGATGTAATGCTATTTTGCTGTAAAGGTATTAGAGAGTTAGTGGTGGTTGTAACCTGAGATATTTTAACAGTAAACATTTAGGAATGAAGCTAAAGCTCTTAAAGGGGTGAAACTTCTATTTCTTAAATAATTCGCCACATACAATAAACAATTACTTGGCACATATAAGTCTACATTTCCTAAGATGTTTTTTCATACATGTATATGATCTAAGAGCTTTAATTAGGACATTTTGTTACACAATTATAAAATCTGAGAATTAGAAAGGCTTTCGAAACTTACCAATCTAAAGAATCCCAATTTTAAAATGAAGGAACTGAGAATTTCTTTCAAATATTTTAACAAGTATACACTTTGGTTTTTATAACATCAGTCTTCTCTGACAAACATATGTGCATAATTATATGCACAATCACACACACACACACACACACACACAAACCTGCACACAGACCTGAGAGGTTACAGGCATTTAAAATATGTAAAAATAAAACATGTTTCCATTCTAAATGCCCATGAATTACTAATGTAATTTTAGCCATATAATCCATTTGAATTACATATATGTATATATCTGAAAATATCCTGTAATTTATCTATATAAAATAAATTACATATAGATATAAAATAATTTATACATAAACTTATCAAAATGCATGTTTAAAATGATTTAACAAATAATGTTTTGAAAATATTTTCATTGTCATGTTTTCAGAATGATAATATAGAATGTATAGATTAGGAATAAATAAAATATGTGATTATTTATGTAAAATTCACTTTCCATATGAGTACAATTTTCACAAGAAATTAATAACATAAGACATTTCACAGAGTCACAAAATAAACAACAAAGGAAAAAATTAAATTGCTCTCAAAATAATGTATGAAATTCCAGGGATGTAAAGGCTATGACTTTCAAAAACATTTATTTTAGAATTCAAATATTTAAATTGTCTTATGAAAGAATGTTGTGACATAATGAATAAATTTAAAAAAATTATTCAAAGATCAATCTCTTGAAAACATATTCAGTGTCATTCTTCTTTAATTACATTTATTATTCTTATATTTTAACCTCAAGTTTATTATTTTAATTTTGGTGAATTTTAAAATTTTATATTTTTATTTTGTAAAAATGCCATTCATGAATTGCTAGAGCTTAACAGTCAACTATCTTTCACAAAGTCTTATTTAGTGAATTTATATATTGCCTTTCTTTATACAAGATAAGGATCTACATTCTTATAATATGAATGGAATTATTGCTGATTTCCTGTGCATATATGCGTTGAATTTCTTCACATAAATCTTATGTTTCTTTTGTGCCCACAAAGACATCTGGATACTCATCAGAAGTGTAAATATCCCAACTAGAAGAAAAAAAAATCATCCTTTCTTATTTCTATGATGAATACAATAACTTATTTTGAACAAAGAACCAGTATCAGACACAACTTTTAAAACATTTCTGAAATATTGCAGTTTCTTATCAATATCCTTACATTCATTGACTAGCATAATGTATATTCAATCAATATTTATTGCATTTATGAATAAAGATAAAAATACATAGCAAGGTTCAAAATTAATCCACATTTTAAATATCTTACTGCCATAAAATAATTCCAAATATAAATTTTTGATCTGAAATTTTTTTCAGTAATACTTTTCCATATGCATGTAATATGACTTTACGTATATAAACACATACATAATATGATAAACCACATTAATTATGGTTCAAAATTGTACAATGGAACAAATAGATGAAATGGATATTACCTATATTTCTTCTAATATATAAAGAAAGCACTGCAATCAACTTTCTACCATGCACTAAGATGCACTATATTTGAAATTTCACATTCATGCTCCCCAGTTGTCCCTTCTTAGATTCTCATGAAAACTTCCATAAATAAGACATACAAGGGATTGTGTAAGTGTACAAAAGAAAGTTTCAAATGAAGTGCATATTACCACTATTTTTAACCAAATCTCATTGCTTTATATACTTGAATTACATTTCCTAGCTTGGTTACAGCAGTAATCATATAGAGATAAATGATGTTTCAGTATTTTTAATACTGCTAAAAAATAAAAATAAAGTATTAAAATCCATTTGCAAACACACCAAATTAGTACAACAGTATCTTAATCTCAGAAACCACTCTTTTTTAAATATTCATGCACTTTGAGTAATTGTCAATAAACCTGTCAATTCACTTTGAGTAATTGTCAATAAAAGTCTTACCTGGCAATGTTTGTGTCATGACTGTGAAACTAATCCATGACCCAATCTGTTAAATTAAAACATAAATTAACACATGCATACAGTTAATATAATAATTTGTTCACTTGTGCACTTAAACAGGTAATTTAAAATATTAAATTATTAGAAAAATAGACATAAACTAAATTTCCAAAACTAATATTTCAATTTTTACATATGAAAGTCCAAAATTCCAAAAATTGTACCCTATCCATAATAAAATAGAGAATATTGTCTTAAAAACTTGGATAAATATTAAAATTCTCAAAATCTCTAAAGACATTTTATATAAAGTGTTCAAACTACTTAAATGCAGATACATTTATGCACAGATAGTGAAAATAGTGGTTGAAATATACTTTTTAAATCTATAACTTGAATTGAAATCTATATCTCTGAACCCATATCTAGAGACAAAACAAATATACATTTCATAATAGATCATTATATATGATAATGTATTATATATATATATATATGAACACATAATTTGCACATTATCATATAAAGTTATATAATTTACATTTATGAACAACATACCTCATAGGTATAGTTAGGACAAGAAACCAGCAAAAACATCCATGTGAAGGGGTTATAATTTGGACGTGGAAAACAGGCATTATTTCCTTTTAGAAAGTAGAGTAAAATGTCAATGATGTCACATATTGTAAATTTGATTATATTCTTGTATAATACTAAATTCCTGAGAATAACTACATACCACATGAAATTACATTGTATATTTACAACAACCTATTTTATAAATTGCTCAGAAGAGACCCAATTTCAAATGTTATGAACTTTTCTGACTCAGATAAAATAGCTATCATTTTTGACCATATCTATAACTATATTGCTGTAACATTGCACAATACATAGGATAATAAAGTCCTCAATATTTTAAATAAAAAATATTTAAATTTATTTTGTATATTATAATAGCTGCAGCAGGGTTACATGCTAAAATTATAAAATGTGCTTTGACAATTGCATGCTTCTTCACATTATCCTTTAGTGTCAAAGTATATGTGTTTGGTTGAGATTATCAAATACCTCAAAACTCCCTTTGTATTAAATTGGCAAAAACCCGAAGGAAAAGTTATAAGAATGCCATTTATATCAAAGGAGTGTGAAAATCTCTCATAAGAAGATTAAGTTGAAAATCAGTATAGTTAATATTCATAAATACCATATAAATTATTTCTTCTCAGAAATTAAGAATCTTATTTACAGCTCTCATTATATTTAGCATATTGTCACTTGATTTTTGTTATTTTTTCCTTCAAATTTTTTCAAGAAACATTTTAGAAATGAAATTTATAATGATATGAAGTTGAACTTTGAGCTATGACATTTGTAAAATTAAATATGAATTATAAATTTACTGTTTTATTCTCCATAACAAGATTTAATCAGATAACAAATCAACTAATCTCTTTTGGTTGTAACTCTAAAGTCATAATGAAATGTCAGTATGTTATTTTCAAAATTGTAACTATGGTTGAAATATCAAAGTAAAAAATATATTAAGCACTGTGCAGATTTCATGCACTGCTCATTTCAAGATAAGGGCAAACACAAATGCCATTTAATACCAGAGATTATCTCATAAGATTTATGTAAACACCTTTGTGTAATGTGCCTATAGTAATCAAAAGAGAGATAATTGAGGAACTTACCCTGGTTATAGTCATTGAATTTCAGTGGTACCATATGCACAAAAGATAATTTGGATAAAGGCCTCTAACTTATGGGTTTTCAGCCCCTGGAAGTGGGGGCATGACCAAGAGAACACAAGTTCACATTTCTTCTAAATGTAAATTGTAGATTAATGGATATGTTTTATGACACAGAAAAAAAAAATATATATATATATATATACAGAAAATGTTGTTTCTAGTGTATATAGTTGGTATTAATTGTAATAGTATGTAAGTTTAAAGATCACTAGTTTTATACACACATTCTCCATGAAGTTTCTAACCTACACTTGTTATAATAGAGTTTCTATAAAATGAAAATCATAAGATTCCTTTTCTTTTTTCTAAGTTGCCCTGATAACCTTTAACTTGTGATCCTGCTGCCTCAACCTCAAAGTAGGATTACTAGGTGCACTAACATGCCTGGTGAAAGTCAGAAGGCTCTTCACATTAAATTTCTCCACAACCCAGATTTTTCTTCCAGAGGAAAGAGTTTATTCTATTGATCCAGGAAGTGCTCCAGGAAGAACACCTTCATGTCTTAGCATTTCTTGGATTTTTTGGCTGAAGAAAGCAATCTAAGTCAAGGTCATCCTCTCTTCTTGGTTTAGTCTTCATCAAATATTTGATCAATACAGTAAAAGATGACTCAATTTAGAACAATGTTATTTATTCATTCTTGCATTAGAATGCCCCAAATGCTCATTGTAGATACTTCCTGAGAATGCATCCTTATCAATTTTTTACATAAACATGATTTCTATGTTGTTGTTTACGAAATCACCTACACAATTCTGAACACTAACCTTCACCTTTGCATTGGCATCTCTTGGTTGTCACCAAGAGTAGCTCTAAAAGCAGATGCTAGAATGGACATTTAGATTAGAATAACCTAATAAAGAGCCTGCAATGAGTACTTCACTGCTCAACAATGCAAAACAGCTTCTGAAATAAGATAGCAGTGCAGGTGTGAAACCTTTTATTAATAGAATATTGATATGTTATATTGATGGAGAGGAATGTTTTATCCAGTATAATTCAAAGAGTGGAATGAAGTGGTAGTTTCTGGCAACATACTTGACAAAACAATTGCTAAAACTTAAACTTATAATTGGCAATTAAAAGTGAAATTTGAATATTAGAATTCTTCCTTGGTAACATGTGAAGACATCTTATCTTTTCCAATGAGAGGCCACAGAAAGCTGAATACCAGACCCAGACTCAGTACTTAATTATAAAAGTGATCAAGCTCCAAGAATTAGACAATTACATTTGAAGGTTATCCAAAAACCTTACAAGATCTAGATTTTCATGAACTTCATGAGTCTACAGAAATGACTCACTTGTCCCAATTACACCCTAATTAACACCCCTTTACTGAAAGTCAATAAAGAAGAAAATATGCTATAAAAAATCTTCTTTAGGTTCCTCCCCATATCTCCTCCTAACCTTTGTAGTAACCATCATTGAATTATTGTATTAGCTACCTAAGGTTTTCCTGGATTGGCTAAGGGAAAAAGAGATTATGTTCCAAAGGAACTGCAGGACCTAGCCAGTGTGAACCAACACACCATAGAAGAATACATGTGTGACTGGATTTTGAGGGTACGTGATAAAGGAAAAAAATATATAAAATTGAATAAAGGCAGGTTAATAATTTCTAAGCACTCTACTTAGTATTTAGGATAGTATATAGTAGTGTTATGACTAGTATTTAGGATAGTATATAGTAGTGCTAAGATTAAACAAACACAGTATTAAAATGCACATAGAAGAATGAACAAAGTAACCACCCACCTTAGTGAAGAAGAAAACACATTCAGCACAAACACACACACACACACACACACACACACACACACCACTAGCATTTGTGAACATCAGGGAACATAATCACCAAAAAAACAAAAACAAAAACAAAAAAACAACAAAAGAAACCTCCAAAACTTAAGTAGATATTGAAAAAACAGGAAGGTAAAAAATAAATTAATCGAACTTAAGAAAAAAACTGTAAAAAAAGAAAATCAACCTCAATAATATGGAACATTTTTCAATTTGCCTACAGGTGATTATCTACTAAATGTAGATAAAAAAAGTTAATCCCACAACAACAAAAGATTAAAATAGAAAGTGATGAAGATGCTGGAGGCATATGATGTATAACTTCCCTTACATTTCACACTATAACAAAACTAACTTTAAAACCATACTTCAACACAATTTTCTATAACTAAAATAAAATATGAATCAGCCAAGTAGAAGATTACCTTAAGCCCTGGGAAAACTGATCTGGAATTACCAACTCTGTCACATAACCTTAAAAATTAATAGACTGTTCTGATAAAAAAAAAAGTCACCGAAGCCTTAAGTCAAAAAAAGACCAACTCAATCAAGAAAAGAAAATTAGGATGGGATATGATTTCTCAAAAGAAACATGCAAAGCTAGATAAATTGTGGAGTAAATATTATAATACAATGGCTCTCTTGCATGAATAATTTTAACATTGCAGGCTGTCTTAAAATTTTCATTTTGAAGTAATCACATCATACTCCAAATAAATTAAGAAGCTTGACAAATTGTTAGTAAGCCAAAATTATGACTAAAATTTGTGATATAAATAACATTAACAAGTTTAGCATTTTTATTAAATTGTATTGTGTTTTTCTCTACACCAAAAAATATTAGACTCTCAGAAAATTTTTATTGGAGATTCACATGCCTTTAAAGAGAGTCAGTATATACTATCATTTTAAAACAGATAAAAATAACATTTAACCTCTTTATGAAAGGTAAGCTATACTTCAATACAAATGAAGACAATAAACCATATGAGCATTTGCACTATGTGAAATTTTCTCACCACGATAAATCATGGCATAGCATTTTTAGATATCCACACACATTATTGATGATCAACAAATTCAAAAAGTTGAGTAGTAATCATAATTTTATGTAATGTAATAAAATATATTCTTACAGCACAGCTTTTTCAAACATTCTATGATAATAAATTTACTTTGTAATGTTGTATATTTTATTGCATTCAGCAATTATTTGAGAAAGCATTTAACATACTTCATCAGCCTATCAAGAAAGTGTGAAAAAATTCAGGTATATCTTAAAACATGCTTGAAAACATAATTCTGCCTTTATATTTTTAGCTGGATCAATAAACTGAAGTCCAAATGTTGACAATTTCTAATTGAAATTTACAATAAATGTATGTACTATATAGAAATTGTTGTATATTATTAAATCTAAATGAGAGGACTGATTTAACAAAGCCATCTTTAAATAAGCACACACTATAAACTTTTTAAATATGTGTAGCTATTAAATTTAAAATATTCTCCCAGGTACTGCCTATTTTACTGTGATTGAGTTTTGGCTTTTTTTTTTAAAGTTCAATCTCATTAGGAAAAAAAATTAAAAAAGTCATTTGAACTATCAAGGATTATATAAATATTGGCAAATCAGATCAAGATTGTGTGTTCGGGAATTTGAATATTCATCAACTGATTTTGTACTAATTTACTTCTTAATCAAGAGAATTTTTATCACATATTTAGTGTGATTGTTTGGTTTGTGTCAATGAAGGATGTAGCTGAAAATCTGCACGCTGCATTTTAAGGGAATTATCATTAGGATGAATGTCATTTAGTTTGGAAAACATATATAAAACAAACAAACAAACAAAATATGTGGTACATTATTCTTAAGTTATTCCCAACTGTTAATATTCTCCTTAAAAAAAAAACTTGAAATAAAGCTTTTTAAAATAATTATCAACAAAATTCACTCTAGGGAAGATAAAACACAAAAGAAACGAACCTGTATGATTGGGGTGAGCCAACATTACATTGATGAAGTGATTCCCAGCTTCACAAACCTACAACATATAAATTATTCAGTGTGATAAAGAGATCAACCAATGCCTATTTTTTATTCTAGACAAAATAAAATCCATGTAATATATTAATTCCAAAGATGCAAGACAAACATTTTTACTTGTAATAAGAAAATTTTAAAACAATGTAAGCAACTATTTGACTATATTGAATATAAAACAACTAGACACAATGAGAAATTCCGAAAATATACTTTATCTTTTTTGATAACCAGGTTCAAATCACCTTATTAATCAATGAGTGTGTATTATTTGCTTAAAGCTTGTTACTCTACATAGATTTTCTTACCATGAACACATAGCACACATTGCTGAAGACAGACTTCTTACAGTATTCTCAGTTCATTAATGCAGTAACAATATTCTCAGAGTCAGTGAGGAAGTGTGAATCCCAGTGGTTTCAGCTCTTAAAATGACTATTGTAAGTAGTACTGCCCCACAAGGACTCTTGCTACTCGTATGTCATTGGTCCTCTTGATCTTGGCTCTTCCACTAATGTTCTGCTATAGGTCACTATAATCCTCTGAGAAGATCAAAGACTTACCACAGTCTCCTGGGACTAATAATATTGAAAATTTGCAATATCTATCTTTTGAAGGTGAGATACTTCCTTTGTTTGCCATATTTACCTTATCTGGTACGATAAGGTATGAGTTCAACAAAGAAATACGTTCTTATTGATAATAGATTATTATTCAAAACCATTATTATTTAAAGCCACTATCGTTTTAAAAGTAACAAATCCCCAAATCCAAGCATCCTTTAAAGTTAGTTCCTTTAATACTTATTAGTCTCTTAAAACATATCTGATTTCTTATTTTCTTTTCAAACATTTTTGTATGCATTTCTTCACATATAATAATATTTTAACAGACTGCAATGTCTAGGTAATTCACACAAAACAGATGGCATAGATTTCAACATATTTTAAATTTTAGAAAAGAAGTAGATTGAAAGAGAAAACCCAAATCCATTTCTCCTTTGTAAAACTGTTATTCGAAATAATCAACTTAGATAGAACTGTTCTTACAGGAGATAACATTAAAAACAGATCGAATACACTAAAACAATATTTGAAGATACCCAAAACAATATAATTATTAATTTCACACAAAGATAATTCCACAAAATAAGAGAGGCTCTGATTTTTAAGTCATCATTAGGAATAAAAAGCTGAATTTTGAGTTTTCACTTAATAAATTTTGCTTCATTTTGGTTTGTTTGTTTGCTTGTGTTTTATTTATTTTGTTTTGTTTTTACCTGTGACTGTGGGTAAATATAGGATTTTAGCTACATGAGTCTATATTTTCACACCACATCTTTCATTTAGTAGTTGTGAGAGACTTAGTAAGTGAATTAGAAATTTTAAATTTTTTCTCGTCTCTTAAATGCAAATATTAATTCTTTTTTCTTTCTTTTTTCACAGTGCTGGGATTTGAATCCTGCACCTCACACATGCTAGGCAATTACTCAACACTAATCTCTATCCCCAGCCAGCTGCAAATATCAATTCTTAAATCTAGGGACTTTATGATGATTAATTCAAGTACCTGACATATATTATTTGTTCAATAAAGTTTGTGATAATTTTAGTTACCTATGTAATCACTAGTAAATTATTATCCTATATTGATCTTCTCTAAATTTGTCTCATTTTCAACTTCACAAAACAATTAATTGTAAATTAATGATTTGTTATATGAATGTTACATGTATACCTTTTTTATATGGGCACATGTCAATATAGATATCATGTCATACTTATTTTTCATCACTTACAATGCAAAATGAGATTATGATAAAATATTTATTAAGAAACAAAATATCTTTGAAAATTATTTTTTTTCATCTGATGAATATGTTTGCTTTGAGATTATCAATATTTTGGCCATTTTAACCCTCAACCCATTTTCTTCTTCCTGTTCATCACAACAAAAGTAAACATTGAAATCATCAATATTCTACTCAAAGTCCAGGCCATAAAATTTCATATACAAAGCCAGAGTATTCATGTATTGATACATAATTTATCATTGGGTGCCCTTCCCCAAACATACCAGTTACATACTAAAATTAGAAACACAATATAAAGTGAGTGAAATGTGGTAAATCAATAAGCTATATTTTTCATCTTTCAATGTCATGATGAAACACTTCTTTATATATTTTCTAAGGTTGGAAAAATAAAACAACTATATCTAAACCCTAGAAATGATTAATTTATTGTCAACTTAGAAATTTCATAATGGATTTTTTTTTCTTTTTCAATATATTTGTATTAGTTCTTTTTAGATATACATGACAGTAGGGTACATTTTGACATATTATACATACATGAAGTATAACTTATTCTACTTAGGACCCCATTCTTGTGGTTGTACATGACATGGAGTTTCACTGGTCATATTCATATATGAATATAGAAAGTTATGTCCAACTCATTTTACAGTCTTTCATATTCCCATCCCCCCTTCCCTTCATTCCCCTTTGTCAAATTTATTGAACTTCTACTCTTCCCCTCCGCACTTCCCTTGTTGTGTGTTAGCTACAAAAATGAATGACTTCCTAATGGATTTTAAGTAATTAGGACTAGCAGTAATTTTAATCTTAAGATCCAGCTTTAAAACTCTGGGAAATGTAATAGAAGTCAGAATAATAAGCGGTCTGCATAAATGTTGTTGGTATAATTTCTTCTTAGGTTAGGGCTGAGTAGAATTAGAAAATTCTGTTGTGCTCTAAAACTCAGTATATGATTCCATTATTTACTGGTTAATTTCAGAAGAACTTTAATATGAAACACTGGTATGCTACTCAGTATGATTTACACATTTTAGGTATATTCATTCTTAAACTGGAAGTCTTCATTTACCATATTATATGTTAACAAAATGACTTAATAACTAAAATTTCAGGCATTTACTATCATTGCTCTTGATTTACATTATTTAAAGCTTAAACTGTGTTAGATAATAAAATTTTCTTAGATAATAAAACAAAACATATAGTCCCATGTAACAGATAACAAACGTCATAGATAACGAACATACAGAAACATAAAGCAACATTGTTCAAATTTACTAAAAAAATAATATTTAAATAAATATGCAAGTAACAGCACCATTTCCTGCTTTATAGTAATTTAACAAATGAAGTAATATTATGTTTGACTTACTAATATTCAAATTGATATAAATTTTTACATAATTCAATCAATATACATGTTTGGTTCCATAGAAAGGTCTGAAGAACAGGACTGAAAGAATTTGGGAAGATGCAGGCCCTGAGTTCATTCCCCAAAACCACATAAAATAATTTTTAAAAAAAGAAAGATAAAAAATTGAGGACAGACTTTTTCTTCATACTGAACTAGCTACATTGACAATTTGGCCAAAGTTGTTTTGGGGATGTTTATTTGGTGTACTTGTAAAAGTTTTTGCTCTTAAAATTTTATAAATTGGTGACTTTATAATAGGAAGAATCACTGACTATATTTTTTAAATGGTTACAATAATTTTATTCTTTATAAGTGACTACAACATTTTGATTAAAAGATTTAGAGAGCTAATGATTTGATTATAGGAATTTATTTAATTTATTTCATTTTATAACATTATTTATAATATATTGATACAAAAATAGATTTTATTTTCTGTATGACAAATCTTCCAAAGCAAAGTATTTTATGTTCTTAATAATACCAAAATTAGAGCATGAGTAGCAAGTAAATATTTGATACATACCAGAAAATTGATAGCAGATACTGTGACTTGCCTATTTCCAAATGCTAGAAAGTAGGAAAAGAATTTGTTATGCAAACACTCTGTATTGTCACACTACAGGTGTAATTCACAAAATGTTTAATGGCTTCATGGTCATGACTATTCCCTAACCAGCAGTATGGTGAGCTATATTATCTACATTTTAGGGTGATACTAAAGTGTAATTGTTTTGTTGAAAATAAAATACCTCTTTTTTAGTGCTATAAGGACATTTAAAAAAATCTCTAAAATTAATTGGTGTCATTTAGCTCTTTAAAATATATTTTATCTCTCTCATTTATCATCTCTCATTTTAAAAGCAAAACTATAATGGCCTAACAACACATAATAATACCACATAATGCTTTTATTTAATGTCTAACAATAAACATAAAATGTTAATAATAATCAGTATTTTGCATCATTGTTTTTAAATACTCATTATTTTAATCAGTCAAATGTATAGGAGTGTTTTATAACAGGCACTATGTTAGCTGGTTTATATAAATATATACATATTTATATATAAAATGTACATATATATATATATATATATATATATATATATATATATATATATATTGTTTTTTGGTACAAGGGATTAAACCCAGAGATGATTAACTACTGAGCCAATTCCCAGCCATTCTCATATTTTATTTTGAAATAAGACCTTAAGACCTTACTAAGTTACTGAGGATCTAAGGATCTGAGGTTAGTCTGGAACCTGAGACCCTCCTGCCACAGCCTCCCAAATCACTGGGATTATAGACCTGCACCACCATGTCCAGCTGTATTATGTTTTTATTATAAAACTTATACCTATTGTTTACCTTAATATCATATATGTTTCTTCTTATAATGAAACATTCTTCTTTATCTAAATTGTAATAGTTGTATTATACTAATTTCTATTTACCATTATTCTTGTATCAAGTTGATACAACTTGACATAACTTCATTCACTCAGCAATTTCCATTAGGAATTCATATAACAGACACTGCACTTACTGTATGCTTGTGATAAATTATAGGAAAAGCCAAACCAAATCTTACCTTAATAGAACTTAGTCTGATCAGGAAACAAATACTAATCACATGCTCACATGCCAATGAATGAAAATTTGTAAACTTGATAAATGGTATCAAAAAGAGCTTCTACATATATGATTATAACAGATGTGCAGTTACCAATTAATGCCAGATATGACCGGTCACTTATGTATATCTAGGAATAGACTAAAGTTATGTATATTTAAGCATTAGTTGCAAAATTTGCATTTTGTACAATTGCAATAACACGCTGTGGTAACTGAAATTTAAACTATGATATATGGCATTGGAATAGATACATATTTCAAACCTATAAGGTGCAGACTGTCTATACAAGGTACTTACTTTCCACTTGAAATCTGTATTGTAATGTAACAGATGCTTCACTGAATTTGAGTCCTACTTAAATTTACACTTACATAATAATGTTCAACTACAAAAGAAATAGCAAATTTACAGTTTAACAAATATTTTCAATATTTTTTGTATAAAAAATTGTATAAATTGTCTAAGCTAGAATTTTGAGGTTAGCAATTTAGTGTATTGTTAGATGAGAAGAAATTCTACATACATGGTGGTGTATACTGTGGATGATTAATGTAGTAGGCAATCCAAGAAGTGAATCCCCAGTAAAAGGCACAACCCTACAAATAGACAAAGTAAAACAGATGTTATGGAAACTATACTTGTCAAATCCTCTAAAGCTAGCTCATATATTCATTTCATACACTGAGAATTTATTTTTGTATAAAAAATTGTATAAATTTTCTAAGCTAGAAAAATAAATTTCTTCAATTGCTAAGGCAGCATTATAAAACTCGGTATCACTGAGGATGTATATTCCATTGTACCATTATTATTAACATTAATGAATATTTACAATATAGGTAAAAAGTAATTTTTATGTTTTAGAAAGATTTCTCAAGAATGGTATTGTATATTAAAAATATGAATGAAATAAAAACTAATTGCTGCATAAAAAGTTCTAACAATAAATGGAAAAAGAATGAATTATTTAATCATTAGCAAATATATATCTTGATTGATTAGAACCTCTGTAATATAGGCCAGATTTATGAGTACTGAATTAAAACATACAGATTGTCCACCAATAGAATAAATTTGATTGCCTTTTGTCAAAAATAAATAAATAAATAAATAAATAATTTCTTCTCTTCATGATGTATCTTTTCTTAGCGCTCTAGGGTTTACTACTGTGTTACAACAACAGCAGCAACAACAAAATTAGATGGCTGTTTTGGAGACGTTTTAGAAAGCTGATATTTGCCAAAAATCAGGGCATTTGTGTGTGTGTATGTGAGAACATCTTTTAAATAAATTTCAAAGTGAAAATCAAATTAAATTTGAATTCGAAATGACAAATCAATGTGACCAATAGTGTCCATTATAAGTTTTTAACTCAATCTTTTAAAAAATTTCCCATGTTTGATAGCTTTTTGGTAGTCGATAACGGTTACATTCACCTTTTCTGGGAAAAGCAAAAATCTTAGCATTACACTATCACTTTCATAAATAAGATAAAGTTATTGTCATATTAATCACACACCAGTGTGTATTTTAGGAGAATTCATATGTAATATTTATCCTTTTCAGGAGGCACTTAAAGAATCCAAATTCAGTGCTCACTCTTCCCAAAATGAAAAATGTTCCTTGGAGTATCTAGTTGGTCTTGTAAGATAAGGTCCTGGCAAATCTCTCTGAACTTTATTGGCTGAGGGTAGCTCAAATAGAATTGCTCAAGGAAAGACATTTCAGAACCATACGTTTTAATAAATGTTGACACAATCAGAAAAATCTAGTTTTGAGGAAAAGATGATTCATACCTTAAAGCTTTGCTAATGATCAATATACTCATTTTCTCAATAATAATTAAAATACAAATAACATTAATTCCCACCTGTATCAAATTTTTCAAAGGTGTGTGTCCTGCAGAAACTTTGTGAACAAATAAAGTTTCCAAAAGATATCGGATATAATGAATGCAATGGAAGAGGCAAGCTAAACTGGAAAAAGAAAAACACACATAAACATAAACATTAAATTCTCTTCCAAAATTCTTTCTTGTTTTGAGTTAATTATTTTACATGTTTGTTAGTTTATTACACTATCCACATATTAGAAAATATTAATTCTGGTAACCAAACACAAATGTTTACTTTTATATTTTATTCTAGAATTCTTCTAAAGTTAATGAAATAACAGTTGTAAGATTCTATACTTCTGATAATACATATCGTTTACAATATAAATCCTAAACTGTTATGCTCACACTTGCCCCACAAATAATCTAAATATCATAATTGCAAATGCCTTCATACCAAAATGCCTCGAGATTGAAGCAATTTATAAATTTTTAAAAAGTAGATTTTTAAGATTTATAAATAATGTGCTTCAAATAGATGCATTTGACACTTAATAATATACAGAATAATTTTAATGGTCTGATTCTCCTTTAGAATTGAGAAAGTTACATTTTCATTTTCTATAGAGTCATAATGCATCATTTGTTTTTCTTTGCTTCTTACCCATATAGGATGTTGTAATATTTGGTCTTTTCATATATTTGTTTTTGTTGTATTCTAAGTTTCTGCCTCTTGTCATTTTAACATAGCTATTATTTTAAAAGTAAATATTAAATGTGACTTACAGAAGTATATCGTTTTTAGAAATACTAAGAAGAATTCCATTAAAATTAGTACATATTTTGTTTGAAGAAAAAAAGGTCAAGTCTCAAAGCTTTGCTATTAAGAAAATCAGTATGGATCAAAGATGATGTAACTTTACCAATAAAGTTTGAACATAAAAATTAGCATGCCATTTACTCTTTGCAAAGTAAGATATTGAGATGATTTATCAAGTGGAAAATTTATTTGAACAAAAAATTAATTAATGAGTGTGATTCACTAATTGAGGTGTAACTCAGTGATAGAGCACTTATGTAGCTTGTGGGAAGTCCTGGGTTCAATTCCCAGCACTACAAACAACAACAACAAAAATGATTTCTGCTTTATCTGGTAGTGAGTTTAAGGAAAACAAACAAACAAACAAAAATAGACAATAGTGTCAGAAGTGGCAAATAAATTATTACTTTGAACTTCATAGCCTTGGACATCTTGACTGCTGCATCTGGGAATCTTTCCATGACAAGGTATAGAAAGACAGGCCCATTTACAGGCAGCTGCTGTTAATCCAGTCAATTCCCCTACATGGCAAGGAATTTAGATTGTAGCTTTAAATTTAGATGCCTGCTAGCCTTAGGTAAAAAAGATACCAGTGTGCCTTGAGGCACCAGCTGCCTGGAGGAAGAATTACTGTGCAAGTGATAAGGGTCCTAACAGGGCCAATTTCCCACAGCTTATCACCTCCTATTTATCTTAAAGAGCCCTTCTTCCCAGTAATTACCTTTGGTGGCATTTGAGGGCTTTCTCCCTTTGTTAGGATCAGACCCATCAGGTCTCTTCCACAACTTAAGCCCTTGCTTTAAATATATTTTCTTGCATCTTTCCTATTCTTTCTTTTGTTTTTTAAATAAACAGCACTCACTATTTTTATTTTTATATTTATTTGTTTGTTTATTTATTTATTTATTTATGTGGTGCTGGGGATTGAACCCAGGGCCTTGTGCATGCAAGGCAAGCACTCTACCAACTGAGCTGTGTCCCCAGCCCCTAGTATTATTTCTTACGACTACTTTTTCAGACTTTTATTTCCAGCAGGCCCACACCTCCAAGTGTTACTTCTTCTCTCCCCATGCAGGCTGTGGGTCAATAGTATCTGGGTTAAGTCAACCAGAAGTCTATCATTTATTAATTCATAAAAATATAATATATAATATAACTCTAATGTTAGAGTACATGTTCTATGTGATGTGTATTTTAATAATTAACACAAAAATTATTTAAAAGGTGAAAAACAATGTGGGTATCTGGAGTATAAACCTTCTTAGGCAGCAAAACAGACAGACAAAAAAAGCAAATGTCATGATATAGAAGGTTGATTTGTAAAATTCTAAGGATTGGTAAGGGAAATTATATCTCTCTTCATTTCTGGGTTATGTTTCAGAATATTTATAAAAATGTTTAAGTAATACAACTTCCCACTTTTTAAAAGAAAGCATAAAATTAGCCCGGTGCGGTGGCACATGCTTATACTCCCAGTGGCTTGGGAGGCTAAAGCAGGAGGATCATGAGTTCAAAGCCAGCCTCAGCAATGCTAAGAAATTCAGTGAGACCCTGTCTCTAAAAAAATGCAAAATAGGGTTGGGGATGTAGCTTAGTGGTTTAGTGCCCCTAAAGTTCAATCCCCAGTAACCAAAACAAACAAAGCCTAAAATTTAGATTAAATCTGGCAACATACCAGAACCCTAAATAAGAAATTTTGGTTCAAGACATGATAGCCATGAAATAGGTCCCCAGTTTGTTTTATATTATTATAACACAAGGGCATAGGAAAGAGGAGACCATACGTAGCATACACAGCTAGAGCTTTCCTGTTGAGATATTTGCGCCACTGTGCATAGTTGATAACTAAATAAGTCTAATTTCATTTTGAAATATTTTTATTCTATTTGATTATGTTGGGCTTCCTATCTAGCACCAGTTTTTTTCTTTGTCCATTCCCAAACTTATTGTAAATCTACAGAAATATTATTAAAGTTTTTGTGTTTGCATTTAAGAGTAGTAACCATTGTCAGTTAATTCTTTTGAGAATGCTGCTTAAAAATGTTCTTTATTTATACTGTGCTATGTATCTATTACATGTTACATATTTGCTCTAAAAAAATTAGTGGTAGCCATTACATTTTCTTTCTAATCTCTCAGCCTCAGTCGTTTTCTAAATGAATTAGACATTCTCTTTATTTAAGGAAAAAAAGAAAGAAGTTAATATTCCTAGGCAAGACCATCATCAGTGAGATCCAATGTCTCCTTACTTGGTTCTATCTCTGCTATCCTAGATTTCTTGATTTTGCTACCATGCACTAAAAAATTTTGTCATCCCTAAAAATCTATTACTTTCATTAGTATAACTGTATTATTTAAAATTTCCATTTTTCTCAAAATATAACAATAAATTTTGTGTAAATATGTTTTAACTTTCTTTTTTGGGGGGAGTGAGAGGATACTGGGGATTGAACTCAGGGGCACTGGATCACTGAGCCACATCCCCAGATCTATTTTGTATTTTATTTAGAGACAATGTCTTACTGAGTTGCTTAGCAACTTGCTTTTATTGAGGCGGGCTTTGAAACCTTGATCCTCCTGCCTCAGCCTCCTGAGCCCATGGGATTACAGGCATGTTGCATCTCGCCCAGTGATGTTTTAATTTTTTATGAAATCCATACATATTCAGTACAAATTTTATTTCAAACTTACATTTTTTTTTTGTTGTTGTTGTTCCTAGCAAGGGAGATGTGGTACAAGACTCTGGTGCTCTGGGCAGCAACAGAATGTTATACATCACTGATTGCCACACAATCATAAAAGTGAACAGCTGATAAGTCTACGATTTACTATGTTGTTAAGCTATAATGTTCCATAAATTAGGCATACTACATGAATTTAGAAATGAAATTTTCAATTTATAATGGGATTATACAGCCCTAAACCCTCTGTAATTTGAGAAGTATCTCCTCCCCAAACTGTAAGAGCTATATGAATCACTTACTGTACCACTGGGTGGCGTATACTTCTAGTGCTCTCTTTCCTGTCATATACATATGAGATCCTCAAATAAAACAGGAGGTATATTAGCAGAGGTCCTGTGTATTCAGCCAAAAATACCTGGAAAGAAGAAGGTAATTTATATTTACAATAATTTTATAAGTTTTTCAAGGTTTACTTACCTTCATTAGTATTGATCTACTGCCTGAACTGGTAAAATGGCTAGGTGAATACATGCTATTTTAAAATAATTATATAAGATGCTAGCATAAATAAATCTTCCTTAGAAGAACCATGCAAGAGTTAAGGAGAACTCATTATATGCAAATAGTTAATTTAAAATAAAAACAAACATTGAGACTCAGATGATGGCAGTGTGGATCTAGGCAGCAAATGCTGACTCTTATACAAATCCCAGAAAAAAAGCAGTAAAAGAACAATTGACCAGAAAGGTGGGTGACAGAATGCCCCCCAAACTCAGTATTGGACAACTTGGGAGATGGGGAGACTTGGAATTTGGTTACTGGAGTAGAGAATCAGGACATTTCCTGACCCTAAAACTCTGACCAGGGTACAGTTGGGGGAGGGGTAACAGAGAGAAAGAAGAAGAGGAAAAGCCCATAATCCTGACTTAACAATAGTTGAAAAGAAATGTGAATCAAATTAAAATGGGCCAGAAGCAGCAAGAACAGTGAAGGAGATCACACAGTTTATCCCAAATTGTGGTCAGAAATCTGTTTCAGGCAAGGCAAGCAGTTTGTAGAGTCCACAACTAACCAGCCTCTTTAGAAGAGATTGAACAAACACATCTTCTCCCCATTTACAGATAACAACAAATAAAACCATAGGGAGCACCTCTGAAGTGGATTGTCTCAGTGATCCATCTAGAAGAAACTTGTAGAGATTCATAAACCTTCTCCCCCCTGCCCTCCACAAGGGGAGTGGGATAGAGCTGACATAAGAACAAATAGGTCACTGCCAGGGAGTGCTAACTCCAATCTGAGCTCACCACAGCCTCTGCTTCAGATGAAGACAGGCAAACTGACATCCTACCCTATTCAGAGTAACAGGTAAAAAACAATGATGTGCAGTAATCAGGGTAATACTTCTGTGCAACAGTCTGTCAGCAGGAAGCCTGCTCTCACAGGCCCCTCAGTTGAAGACAACCACCATGTACTTAGATAACATTGCTCTAAAGAAGCCCCAGGAGAGGGGAGCAGGTGCTCAAGAATTCACAATAACCAGACAGCTACTGGAGCTCACACAAAGCCTGGCCCAATAACAGCCTACACTCCAGTTGAGGAAAAGTACTCCAGTCACCCACATTAGTCAGAACAAGAGAGGTTTTTGCCACAGACTGCTCACAGGGAGGCTGCATTCAGGTGCCACACATTTGCAATCACCAAGCTTTATGCTGCCATAAAGAAATTCCAGCTGTGTGGAGCAGGTTGCCAGCATTCCAATCAGCAACAGTGCTCAGCCCTGCACCCTGTGATTCCACACCCAACAAAAACAGAGATGTATCACCCTTCCAAACATGCAGATTTGGATCTCTAGTCTAACTAACAAGCACCATCTGGCAAGAAAACCATAACAACCATGGAAATAGTTCCTGTGCCCCAGAATCTCTAGAAGAATCCACAGCTGTGAGTTCCTGAATTTCCAGACATAAACTAAAAGTTCTTCAGAATTAAATATATATATATATATATATATATACACACACACACATATATACTGTTAAGATAAAGAACCTAACATATCTATAGCATATTTCATGTATGAACAATAAAATTTATTTATTTTCTTCTCAGTTGGACATGGAACCTGGAAACTTTTTTTATAATAGGCTGTATTTTAGGACATAAAGCAAATCTTAGCAAAGAAAGAGAGGAGGTGGGGAGGGAGGGAGAGAGATTAAATTCTATCAGATCATATTGGAATAAAATTAGAAATCAACAAAATAAAGAACAGAAACTATTTGTAACTTCTGGAGATTAACTAATAGAATTTTAAGTAAGGAATAGGTTATGGAAGAAATCAGGCGAGAAATCAAACAATTTTAAAAACAAATGAGAATGGAATTAAAACAACTAAAACTCTCTTGGATATTATGAAAGCAATTTTAACAGGAAAATTTATAGCATTGTACATTAAAAAACAAAACAAGAAATATCCCAAATAAATAATAAAATGTTATAGAAAAGTAAAAAAAAAAATTCAAAATAAGTAGAAGATAGGAAATAAAATCAGAGCCAAAATTAGTAAAATTAAAAATTAAAGGTAATACAAATTATTAATGTGACAAATATTTGACTCTTTGAAATGATAAAGATTGATAAACTCTTAGCCAAATGAGTCAAAAGAGAGCAAAGACTCAAATGAGCAAAATTAGAGATGAAAGAGGAGATATGACCACATATACTTCTGAAATCCAGATAATCATTAGAATCTATTTTGAAAATTGATACTCCAATAAATTAGAAACTCTAGAAGTTATTAACTTTCTAGATACAAATGACCTATCCAAATTAAACCAAAAGGATATAGATAGCCTAAACAGACCAATATCAAGCAATGAGAGTGAAACCGAAATTAAAAGCTTTCCAACAAAGAAAATCTCAGGACCAGATGGATTCTTTGAAAAGTTCTAACAGATCTTTAAAGATAACTAATATCAATCTTTCTTAAATTATTCCAAAGAGAGGGAAAGACGGAATAAAAAACTCACAAATTCATCCTAAGACGCTAGTATCATCTGGATACAAAAACCAAATACACAGTCAAGGAGAGAAAGCTACAGAACAATATTCCTGATGAACATAGATGTAAAAATCTTTAATAAAATATTAGCAAATCACATTCAATAAAACATTAAGAAGATAGTGCACCATGATCAAGTGGGTTTCATCCCATATAAATATGGTTCTACATATGCAAATCAATACATGTAATTCATTTTAAAAAATTAAGGAAGAGAATCACATGATTATCTCCATAGTTGCAGAAAAAGCCTTTGACAAAATCCAGCACAGTTTCATGTTTAAAATGCTGGAAAATTCAGGAATAGAAGGAACTTACATCAACATTATAAAGTCTAAAACCAACATAATACTAATAGAAAAAACTCAAAGCATTTCCTCTAAAATCAGGAATGGGAAAAAATGTCCACTCTTACCAATTTTATTAATATAGCTCTTGAAAGTCTAACCAGTGAAATCTTGCAAGAGAAGGAAATTAAAGGTATACAAATAGAAAAAGAACTGTTAAATTATTTTTGCTGATGACTTGATCCTATATCTGAAGACCCAAAAAAACTACACTAAAAGATTTCTAGGGATGATAAGCAGGTTCAGCAAAGTAGCAGGGCACAAAAGCAATATAAAAGAAGAAGGAGGAGGAGGAAGAGGAGGAGGAGCAGGAGAGAAACTATCATTATCCTGGAGTATAATAATTAATCTGCTGAGAAAAAATTAAGAATATTATCTCATTCATAATAACCTCAAAAAAATGAAAAAGAAGGAGGAGGAGGAGGAGGAGAAAGAGGAGGAGGAGGAGGAGGAATCATCTAACTAAGGAGGTAAAAGCCCTCTTACAATGAAAACTATAAAATACTGAAGAAAGAAATAGAAGAAGACATTAGAAGATGGAAAGACTTCATATGTTCTAGCATAGACAAAGTCAACATCATCAAAATGTTCATATTAACAAAAGTCTCATAAATAATTGAATTCAATCTCCACTGAAATACAACTGATATTATTTACAGAACTGGAAAAAAACAGTGCTAAAATTTATTTGGAACAAATAAATGTTCTAATAATCTAGATGGCTTTCCTAACAAATGATGCTGGAAAACTTAACATCCATATGTAGAATAATGAAATTAGATCTCCATCTTCCTTCCTGCACAAAAGTCAACTCAAAGTAGACTACATGTATAGAACTTAGACATAGAAATGAGATCAGAAACACATAGAACTGCATAGAAAAACATAGAAACTACAGACATAGAAATTAGATCAGAAATACTGAAACCATCAGATGAAAGTATAGGCTCACTATTGGTACAGGCGCCAACTTCCTTAACAAGGCCCTTAAAGGTCAAGACACAAAACTAAGAATCACCAAACTTGATGGCATCAAATTAAAACAAAACAAAAACCTTCTGCATAGCAAGTGAAATAAGGGACTGAAGAAAGAACCTAGAGAATGAGAGAAAATATTTACCAGTAACTTTTCTGATGGGGAATTAATATCCAGATATGTAAAAAACTCAAAAAGCTTAACACCAAAATAAACAAATAACTAACTGGATCAATAAGTGGGCAAAAGAACTAAACAGACTTTACTCAAAGAAGAAGCATAAATGACCAACAAGTATATCAAAAACATTTAATATCCCTAGGAATCAGGGAAATGCAAATCAAAACTACATTGAGATTTCATCTCATGCCATTTAGAATGCCAATCATCAAGAATATGAGTAATAAAAAATATCAGAAAGTAAGTGAAGAAAAAGATATATTTATACACTTTTTTGGAGGGACTGCAAATGAAAATCTCCAATGGAAAATAGTATGGCAATTCCTCAAAAGGCAGGAATGGAATCACCATATGACCCAGCTGTACCACTCCTTGGTATTTATCCAAGAGAACAAAATTCAGAGTATAAAGCAATACAAGCAAATCAGTGTTTATAACAGTGCAATTCACAATAATCATGTTGTAGAACCAGCCAAATTGCTCATCAACAGATGAATGGATTAAGAAAATGCAGTATCTCTACAAAATGGAGTTTACTAAGCCGTAAAGAATTATGGAATTATGACAATTGATGGTAAATGGGTGGAACTAGAGAACATTATGCTAAGTTGAAAAAAAACAGACCCCAAAGCTGAGGGTTCAATGTTTTTTTTTTTTTTTTTTCTCATATGTGGAAGCTAAGGAAAATAATAAGAAAGTCAAATAAAGAAGATAAAAGGAGATCATGGTGTAGAGGAAGGTAGTAGAGAGGGAGGCAGAATGGATGCAGAAAGGAGAATCTGGGGGATGCAACTGACCAAATCATGGTGTGTGTGTGTGTGTGTGTGTGTGTGTGTGTGTGTGTGTGAATTTAC